CTAAATAATTTTACTCACTTAGGGGCCAAATGAGGATTTCTCGGTTGATTGGCCATCCAAGCACGACATATTGGATACAGTGGTGTGTCTTCTTGAAATTGAGCTAAATCAACACTACGATCAAATAATTTCATCACATATGTATGATGGAATGCTGTGTCAGTCTGTATTGGCCGACGACGTCTGATTCTCCGTGGAATATTCATAGACTTTGTCCTAAATGTCACAATTACTGAAAAATTAGTTTATCTCGAATAATGTTGTCTTAACGTAATTATAAAAGGATTTTGAGATTTACATTTTTTTCATGGGATGTTTATAATCCGAAATAGGACTGTCATCTGATTCTGCTGATGAACCAGTGTCACTATGGTGTAATAATTCTCGAAGAGCACCTTTTAAACGATCTCTTGCTACAAGAACATCACTATCTCCTATATAAACATAATCAATTTTATAATATTTAATATATCAACATAACTTGCAATAATTTGCTGTTTTATACATCATTACCTATTTCATTTTTTATTTCTACTTTTATCCGTCCTGGCGTTATTGGTGCAGGTTGAATATTTCTTTTTTTCCCCATCTAATCATATTATCAAAGATTAATCTAAGTTAATAAAATTTAATGTTAATACACATTTATTTAAATGTAAAGCTACATATAATATGAGCTATTAAGATAATTGTTAATGTAATATTAATTTATCATAATTAATAAAAAAATTTATATAAATTTAGTAAACAAAAAAAATTACTTTCAACGATGCTTGAACTACAGAATAATTATTTGACTGTTAATATCTTAAATTTGAATTCATCGGTACTTTGGCTTGCATTCGTTTAGTGCAAGAATATTTTGTATATACCTGTAACAAATTGTTAAATACTGTAGTTTGTGTTGCAAAACAATATAGAACATCACAGAGAACAAATTTCATCTTACTTTTCCTGATTACATTAGACAATAACGACTGCACTACCGTTCAATAAAAATCGCATTTACTTTCATATACTTCTAGTTAATTCTATTTATTCTATTAGATTTTTCAGAAGAAACTAATAAATAACCTCACTCTTTAGCCTCTTTAGCATTTCAATTCACATCTGCGCAGTACAGCGCAATAAACGATTGTAGTTGGATTGAAAAAGAGAAATAAACAATAAATTCAGCTACACTATACTTTCTGCACTTAGAGTGAAATAGAATCACATGCGTGAGAGAAAAAAAAATCTATGATGCACTGACGTCATACTCTACACCGTGTTCGAAAAAGTTTAAGCAATGTGTATATTACGTGATGTGTGTATATATATAGCGTTGTTATGACGAAGTTATCACTGACAAAATGCTTTTATTGCAGATAAAAGAAACTATTATATTAGAATGTATCATGTTAAATAATTAAGAAAAAAGTACATATATATATATTTAATATATTGGTGGACTGTGACATGACGCTATAAGACTTCGGAATGCTTTGGAAATTATTTACTAAAATTCTTATATTTTGTATGATAGCAGATATTTTTCTTGCTTCTGATTATTCCAAGCATAATGACAGTTACAGATGTAAATTAGGCTCGAAAACTCCTTATAGATGTGTAGCTAATTATGATGAATCAATATTAGAATATCCAGGTATTGCAATATCATTAATATTTTTGATGCATACGTAAAGCTCTTAATATGTATTTATTATCATTTGATCTACAGATTGTGTGGAGAAAAAGATTTGGTTGATTTTTCGTCATGGAACTCGATATCCAGGCAAGAAGTACATACCTCGTATGATAGAAGACTTACCAGAGCTGCAACATGTAATATTAAAAAATTATAAGAACGGAGCAACAAATTTGTCAGCTGATGAAGCAGCTCTGTTTAAAAAATGGAAACTATCATTTACTCAAGGAAACATGATGAAATTGGCAGTGGAAGGAGAAAATGAAATGATTGATCTTGGAGAAAGATATCAGGCAAGATTTCCATCTCTAATGCCAGAAACTTTTAACAATCAAACATATAAAGTATGTAGAACGAAAAATCCAAATATATTAGATACATATTCTATATTTCTTCCTTCATCACTAGTTGAATTTCAGTTTAGATTCACTGCTACACAACGTACAGAAGAGAGTGCAAGACATTTTGCTGTTGGTTTATTCGGTTGGCATAATAGCAAAAATGTTTGGTATCCATTACCAGTATATCGAGATCGAGTGATAAGAGTAAGATTTCATTATTTTTAAATTCTCAGGCAATTTACTCTGCTCCTAATTTTTTTAGTTCTTTAGGTACATGATTATTCTGTGTTCCTAGTTTTATAAAGCTTGTCCTCGCTGGCGCCAAGAAGTTGACAAGAATTTAGGTGCAAAACTAGAGAAAATGAAATTTTTGGATAGCAAAATTGTTAGAAATATGTTAGACAATATTAAGAAGCGCATTGGTCTCAATATTGATTATGGTTAGTATTTATTAAATATATTATTAAATATATGTATAAATTAAATAAATATCAATTAATTGCTGCTAATATTTATATATGTCAATGTCAATTGTTATATACAATTGATATTTCAGAAACTGTAAATTTAATGTACACAACGTGTGCTTTTGAAACTGCTTTAAATCGAAGTATAATATCTCCCTGGTGTAAAATATTTTCATCAAATGATTTCAAAGTAAGATTTAAATTAAAATAAAATAAAATAGTTTTTTATATGGATAAAAATGTCATTATGCATTCAATTCTAAATTTATTATTTATAGATCTTTGAATACGTAGAAGATCTAGAGTTCTATTGGATCGATGGATATGGCTATCCATTGACTTATAAGCAAGCGTGCGCTGTCTTAAAAGATATGTTTGATTTCTTTGGGTATGCAGATTTATATACATTGCAATAATCAATCTAATAAAGTTTGTGTTTTTCTTACTGCAATCTTTCAATAAAAATGACAAAAACAGGAGGATGCTTTAATCTTTTAAAATATTTTTGCTTACATATCAGAGATTTTCATTAATTAAAGAAAAAACTTTAATCAATAATATTTAGTTCATAAATATAAGATTGCAATTTTAATATAACTTTATTCTAAACATTTATGGAATTATTTTGTCTAATTGTAAATCTTGCCAATTAAATATAATTCAATTGTTAATGTAAAATTGCGTTCAGAAACCTCATTTAGATTCATCTATGTATTATCAAAGATAAAATAATATATAGGTGCATCCGGATAAAGTTTGAACACAGTCCAATATATTATAAGAATGTTATTATTTCTCAGATCTAATGAAGCGACAGTGACAACAGCTTATTTTACACATTCCGGCACAATTTTAAAATTAATAGCCTTACTTGGACTAGCCAAAGATTCGCATCCTTTAACGCATGACTCCTTCGTATTACGCAAGAAGGAAGATAAAAGAGCTTGGAGAAGTAGTATTATTGATACATTTGCAACTAACATAGCATTTGTTTTGTATGAGTATGTTTTTTTTTAAATTATTAAAATTATACATATTACATAATATATTGTCGTATACATAATTATCTAATTATTCTCATTTTAGTTGCGAATATTACGGACCCAGTGTCTTATTCATGCTTCAGGAACGACCGGTATATTTACCAGGTTGTCCGAAAGACATGCCATGTCCATTAAATATTATGAAAGCGATATATCCAGATCGCGATGAAGAATGTCAGTTTGATGCTATGTGCCATATAACAAAACAAGGCAATTGATGCAAAAAATATTTTTGCAGTAACGCCATATATATGTATATATATATATATATATATATGCATATGCATTCTATTTATTTACATATCTAAATAAAAATATGTGAAAAAAGTTTAATTTTTGAAAGAAGATATTTTTCTAAGATTTCTAAGAAGATATTTTACTGAAATGTACCTGGTTCGTTTTATGGTCAGAATGTTTTTTAAAATGTACAGTAAAAGAAATCAAAATTTATTTTGTGTATGTCACTATGTACTTAAATAATAAATGATTCAATCATCATCAGATTTCTTTTTATTTATATGTAGTGACAATTATTTCTAGTATTAAATGAAATTTATTTCCGCGTACAATATTAGTATACTTGTCTACAAAACTAATGAGGAGTAAGTTGATAAAATGTATATTGAATAATGAATACGATTTTAATCTACATTTTTGACAATATAAATAATTATAAGAAAGGAAACGATGCAGCAAATTAACAAATACTAACTGGCGAATTTTTATTTAAAATTGTTGAAAACATCCAAGCCTTTACAATAAAATATTTTGATGAAGATTATAAATATTGCATTTAGTATCTCTCTCTAAGACTCTAAGATATAAAAAACGTTTGGAAATATTTATAATATTCAATAGTAGAACTATTGAATACAGTATATGTATGTATAGTTTTTCATCAACAATTTACTCAAGAATCCTTTGACTTGAAATATTAGTTACGTATTTTAAATAAGATTATTTTTCAATAATATGTACATAAGTTTGAAATATCGGCTTTTATGAGTTTGGATGCGTTCAACATTTTTATATAAAAATTTTTGATTAACTTTCGTTATAACTGTAAGAACTCGTAAATCAAAGGACACTGTCTTCTAATGAATTATTTATATCGTTTCTGTCATCTTCCATCATGTCCTGCAATAAAATATATAATATACATATATAATTATAAAATAATAATTGATGCTAAATATATAATGCAATAGAACCAATGCAATAGAAATATATTACCTGCAACACTTCAATAAGAGCTCTTGCTTCATCCAACATTAATTTATAAATACGACTTTCTTCTTCTAACTTTTCGTTACGTTTTGCGAGTTCTTTATTTTCTTCTAAAGTATCCTTAAGCGCTAATCGCCTCTTTTCAGCTAATACTTGCCAATAATTTTCACTCGGACCAGCTAAATCTGAAAGAAATGTTTTAATAGAAAACTAATATCTTTTATGTATTTATGGTTTTTAAAAATATGCAGAAAGAAAAGGAGAAATCAAATATATTATTTTAAATGTACCTGTGCATGTTAGATCCTCAGCGTCAATTTCTCCCTTTTCCTCTTTCACAGTTTGAACAGCTTTGTTATTGGTTGTCACTTTTACTTGATTTTTGAAAGCATCTTTTTTCTTTTTTGTAGGTACATTTCTAAAATATATATGTAGATTTAACTTTAATTCTTTCCATAAAATTTTGTCATTCTTTCAAATCTTATAAAGCCGGTTCTATATTAGTTGCAAGCCGATCGCAAGTTTGTTGCAATATGAAGTTTATTTCAAAATGCAAGCTTCAGATTGGTTGTCGCAATAAACTTGCGATCAACTTGCAACTAATATAGAACTGGCTTAAGAAATCACCTTTTCTCTATGTATTCTTATTAGGCATAAAGTAAAAATGTAAATATATTTACAAATATTTATTACAATGAGCGTTTATCAGCAAGGACATAGTCAGATACAGTGTATCATTCATTTCAATGAATCATTTCTTCCTTGTTTAATATAGGATGTAAACAACAAAGATGTAATGATTCACTGTGTTACACTATATCTAATAAATTCAATCATATCTCTTGCGAATTTTCAATTTAGTCATTGCTCTGTTTTGAAACATTCTGAATATTATTTGAAAAGGTACATTCTTAAAAATCTTGAGATGTTAAAATTTTTCATAAGTCATGAAAGTCTTGATAGGTCTTGAAAATCTTGATAAATCTTTGATAATTCTTAATTTCTTTAATTAAACAAAATTTTGTTTGAATTGAAGAAATTTGAACTTGCTATAAGATTAAAGAAAACTTTCTTTGATTTGAACATCATTTCTTTGATGTATTATAATTATTTGTATTTATTTAATATTTTTACTCTCTAAAATTAAACTAAATTATTCTCTAAAATTTTATTCTCTTTCAAACATTCAAAACTTTTCAAAATCTTCAAGACTTTTAAGATTGTATAATTTCAAATCATATTCTAATTAATTCAAATTTTTCATGATATAGTTGTAACTAATTCAAATTATGATATCATTACTAACTACTGTATCTGACTGTGTCCTTGCTAGAAAACCCGTCTCAAGTAGGAAGAAATTAACTTACTTTTTTGATTTTACTTCTTTTGTTTGTTGAGTAGATTTGATCATTCTATCAGCACCAACTAAAGTTTCCTTATCAGTAGCTGAAGGCTGAAGTTCATGTAAAGATTTTCTAACTTTATCCTGTTTTCATAGAAAAAATAAATTTCTTAAAAAAATAAATGACATTCTATTAAACTATTGTAATTATGATATACTCTAGTAGATTATTTCATTTATTTTACATACAAGTATTATAACTTGTAATTATAAGATAATTATAACTTGTGTTTAACCTATATAAATATACTTTTCTTAAACATGTCTATAATCATTTTTTATAAATTTTGTCTGCAATATATTATATATTTTCCATCTAGGAAGAATATTATGTATGTATAATATATAGATTAGTGAATTTTTAATAAATCTATTATTATTAAATAAT